TCGTCAAATACATTCTTGTATAAGAGGCTATTTGTATTCATAAGATATTATATTTTTATAACTGAAGAGGGAGAAGCGTTTCGATTTCTACTTAATAAAAAAAATGATAAACATTCCTATGAGTTTGACCAGATAAGAGTCAAGTGTTGTACTAATGTAAAAATGTATTCATGTAAATATTCAACAGATTTAATTATTAGTTAAGAATTTGTAGAAGTATTGTTCAAGAGTAAATATTCAACGATTATTTGACGCATGTATCTTGGTAAGCTGCGTAGGCCTATTCACTTATTTAAGCCATTTTCTTACTGTAGATACCGAATGACAAAAAGATTAATAAAACAAGAAATTATTGATTGTGTACAGTTTCACATTATTAGAGGGGGAACTTGTGTGACGTGGTTGTTAATAAGTGATGTCAGTAATAAATACTCGATATATCTTTCGATTGTTAATATTTCTTTAAAAATGAATACAATAATACAGTTAGTATTAAAGTATAACAAAACAAAACTGTTGAACGATGATCACATTCTAAATACGGTTCTCTGAAGTCGTTTTAAACAGAAATGATTTGAATCTGAGGTAATCCATTTTGAAAAGCACGTTTCTGCATCATTGGTAGCGTCGCACAATGGAACAATAAAGACAGCCTACTGATTAACTCTAAAACGCAGGGTAAATATAGTTTAGTAGTACTCCCTAGTGATTTACAGTCTATTAATGTGCAGTTCAAGGTTCTGCACCCTTTTCCCACTAAGTTCATCATATTGTAAACATCATAATTGTAAACAATGAATATGGCTGGATGGACTCGAGACAATGTAAGCAATACAAGAGACAACTTCATGTTTTTCTAACAAGAAATTTATACAAAACTCATTTCAAAATGAAATAAATAGATATGTACAACTTTATATTCTCTTTTTCGAAACGACTCACCAATTGCACTAATTCAGACTCGAAGTGTATGGAACATGCACGATTGATGAAATTCTTCCCAATTTACTAGAGAAAACTGACCCGGATGTACATAAAAGATTCATGAACTACCATAAAGTAGCTCATAGATGCTAGTAAAAGTTTTGGCACAATAGATTAAAGAAAACGTTGTTGGGTTTAAATCATTCCAAAATTTGTACTCTACTAAAACTCCACTGGCATATTTTTTTGACAACATATTTATTCGTGTGAGGGTTTAGACACTTAACATAATTAGAGCCTATCATATGTTCTGTCCACACTATCAAATTCAAAACTATATAAGGGCATGATGTGATGTCTTTATGACCATATTTAGACATGTCGCATGTTTTTGTCAATTCAAATTTGGTAGTGCAGAGAGGACAGATCAGAGAAATGTAATAGGCTTTTCCAATTGCAGTTGAAAATTGCTGATATTTTGTAGCATCAAATTTTGCATTTCATAATACAATAATCATGTCATATTAATTTTTGCTGTATTGGAACCAGATGAAATTGTTTAGGAATAAGGATGTCATCATCGTCTTTGTTTACAATGGATATCAGGCTAACTATTCATGAGGTTTGTAAACAAACCTCGACGGATATCGTTGATTACGATTCTTCAACTTTACTTCTGACAAAACAATGCATTTAAAAAAAAGCGATGATTTCATTACATTACTTCTGATGATCGAACATATCAAGATAGAAGACCTCAGTGAAAACAATTATTTTTAAAAAAATTTCAGACTTTGTCCAACCATTTCATAATATACCTAATAAATTATGTCACTTTGCAATGGTGACTTGTCTTGAACAATAAATTTGCAAATTCAAAATTCTGACTAGTTACAAAAGTACAATTGGTTTAAGGGTGACAATATCATTTGATTATACAATAAAACTATGTCCAAGTTAGTGTACTGCTGGAATTGGACATGTCTGTGGAATATCATTAAAAAGATCAGCAAAGATAAAGTTTACTGTGGAAACCTGAAAATTGTGTAATTTTGCCTCATGGTTATCGTAGTAGTGAAATTCATCATTCATCATTTAAACAATTCACAAATTAAGACATATTTGAAGATTATGAATTAAAACTCATTTTTGCTCATTCTACCATCAGTTTATAATATTCATTCTAAATCTGGTGATTTGTTACCTTTACAAGGCAAACATATCAACGATTTATGGCATAGATTTTTAAGATTTGATCTAACAAATTCGACGAAAACATTAACATTGAATTGACAACAACACAATCAATAAGTTTTGAAACCTTTTAATTTGGTTAAAATTCATCGTTTCTATTAGACACTATATAAATTAAACACAACATTAACAATGAGGGCACTCTTAGGATAAATATTTTTTTTTCAAAACAATTTTGGCATAAAGGAAGTTGGGTCTAATTATACGAATTGGGGAAAAACTACTTCTATTTGGGAACCAATTGTTTGGAAAGAAACTGCCTCTGTTGCAATACCATATCAATTGAAAAAAAAAAAATTCACAATTTCGGAGATCAATTTTGTCAGGAAAACAATTATCCTTGTTGTAACACTGGAAAAAAAAAAACACCAATTACAACAGTTGAAAAACTAATTGACACAGCTCTCCATATTATACTGGTGAAACAGTGTGGAATGTTGGTAGCGCAAAATATAAAAATAAATTTCAACAACCCATCTCTTTCAGGCAATCCACTTCCCCTTAATGTCAGGCTCTGGAGGAAAAACATTTTTTTGATATGTAGTACAACTGATTTTTTTTAAGACACAAAAATGGGTATTTGAAGCAAAAAATTGGTAACGGTTATTGAGATACACATTTTTGAATATTTAAAAACTGAGGAGAAAAGGGGCATAAGCAACATTTTCCACGCCCCTCCCCCTGTTTTTAAATATTCAAAAATTTGTATGCCATTATAATATTTCCTAAGTTTTTTTTTATCAAGTACCCTTAGAAAAATCAGTACACCATATCAAACATTTTTGTTATCCGGAGCTTGGCTTTAAACAACATATCAAAGATAATTGGGAAAAGAATATCCAGATACTACTGTACCAATATGTTCATGTATCTTATTAGGATGTCCAGCATCTAATCCATTGAAATATAAATTTCTCCTTGAAATTGTCAACCTGCACATGTCATATACTTTTTATCTTATACCATTAGGAAGATCTCCCTGATATTAACTTCAAACTAACCAAAATATATCCTTGAGTCTGCACATCTTACATTACTATAGCTCTGTCTGATCTATCAAATTTTCTTTGATAAAAAATGTTGTATGCCCATATACATATAGCCATGATGTGCCTATATATGGTCATGATGTGATGTCATCGTGACCATATATAGGCATGTCATATGTTTTCATCAAATAAAACTTGTTAGTCAGGACAGGGCTTAAAAACTTAAACCCTCTCCTGTTTTAATACTGGTAACAATCAAGTTTCTGTACTTCCTTTTTTTTTTGTATTTATATGATAGCAAATTGATAACAAAATTGCCACAGTCACTGAGGTAGTGTGCAATTGGCTAGAGTGTTGCATGTAAACAAAACTTAAATGCAGGGTGTAACAGGAATAAACTAATACCCTATTCAGACTGTCATCACATTGCAATTGGTTGTAGCAATTGTGACAACCAATCACAATCATATGTGAAAGCTCACCGATAGTAATCGATATCGCAATTGTTACCCGTTGCGATTGGGTACTCCAATCTTTATTACTCCCGATTACCATGGGATCCAATTGCAACAAATCACAACGAATTCCACAGGCACTGTTTGTATACCAGCCCTAAAATGTGATGTTTTTTGCATTGGTCTGAATACGCTCATTGATTACGATTGGGATTAACCAGTTTTGGATTACATCGCAGCAATTCACACAAGAGTGTAGGCTGAATAGGGTATGAGACACACTCCTCTTTGGAAAGAAAAATAGGAGGAGTTAACCATGCTACCCCAAGCCTAAAGCTGGACATAAACTGATTCATACGACGGTTTAAGATAAAATACATCTTCAATCGGAAATCCCCATGAGCTTTCTCCAACCAGAAGCTGTCTGCTGATTGCTGATGACAGAATGAGCAGATAGTCATTAAAAAATGATTCATTGTGCGTGCTACATTCTTCAAAAAACTGCGTCAACCAACAACATGTAGTCTGTGCCAAGCTTTATGTGTTAATCTCAAGTATAACATGCTCATTCCAATTGCTTTGGAGGGATCATAACTACGTCTTGAATAGGGCGATTTGTAATGTAGCGCATGGGCTACAGTAGGCATGAGCAGTTTCTAGAAAGATATTATTGAACCTCTCATGCACTGCCATTGCAATAGAGGGCCTCTAATTCGTTACCCAGCACTACCAGTACTGTAGTAAAGAGAGGACCACCCTATGCTTTGTCCACAGTATCATGCTTTTTTGTTTTTAGCTCCGATGAGCTCTAGAAACACTCGGCTGATCGATTAATAGATACTCGGCTGATTGATTAATAGATCTTTTTTGTATGGGCAGCCGTTAGGGCCAATATACTCTACTGCCCAGAGCCGTAGATAGGGAGAGTTTGGCCAACTTGGTGCATGGCGCCATCTTGTTACCAAACAGCGTGCGTATTAGCTTTATAACACTGATGCTGCATAAACTTTCTTTTATTATTCTGTTCATGAAGACAATTCAATTATGGGATTTTAATATATCCTATCATGTTAGTTTGTGGTTCGTCAATGTTTGGTTTTGGTGACAACATGGCCGGTGTAAGTCATGTGATTGCGATCCACCCAATCACACGCGCGTATAGCAGAATTCTGTGAAACCGAGTTGGTCAAACTCTATCTACGGCTCTGCTACAGCCTCTATTATACTGCAATCATTGGAGCTTGCAAGATTACGAGAACTAGTTTTTTAGTGTTGTTGCCTCACTATGTTGCTTCAGAAGGTTGGAACATTCTGTTGAAAAGCACTTTAACCAAAACAATCTGCTGCCTTAAAACCTGTAATATCGAATCATTGGTTGCATTGAAGTCTACAATATTACAACTTAAAAAGTATCTCCCACCACAATACCCATCAATCAATAATTCATATTGTCAGTGTCTCCAAAAGATTTTTCTAATGAAACAATTTCCTGTTGAAACACATGTTGTATTCGAAATCCTCAATAAAATTGTCTTTGAATTGCCACAATACAAAAGGTGCTACCTTTTTGCCAAATTCTTCTTCACATGGTTATTCATATTATTATTGCGCTGTTTATTTAAGTTTTCTTCGTGTTCCACAACAGATTTCTGGAACTTGATCAGCATTTCTATGAGCCGCCTCTTCTTGAATCGACCAGCTTCCCTAATGATGTTATTAATAAACAAGTATTTGGTATCAAGGTCACCTTGGATGTTATTTAGATTCTCAAATATTTTGCTATAATCTAGAAGAGAGAACAACAAAATTAGTATTTCTTAAAAACGTTTGCATGGCGAGTATCAATAACAAATACTTTTAGTACACCATGTGTAAAAATGATTTTTTAAATTTTTTTAAAGTAAAACCACTGGTTGGTTGTCTAGGTGAGACTGCTCTCAACGTCATCAGGAGAATCTGCTCATTCTCCTGATGACAGTCAGAGCAATCTTGCCGAAATGTCGAGACAACCAACCAGTGGTTTCACCAAAAAAAAAAAAAAAACATTTTTAAAACAGGTTTTATGATTTTGCTAACAAAATTAATATAATGATCTAGAGAAAAGCTGATTAATATGTGAATGTAAGCATGATAAAATCCTACTTAATCAGGAGTGTAAAATTTGTATTATTTTTTCCATTTTTTTTCTACGGGGATGGTAGGTTAACAGGTCAATTTAAAATATAATCACGATTATCAGCAAGCAACGGGTTCATGAAACAAGATACTATATATGAAAAAAAATCCTGCCGTGACACGAAAAATGGAAAATAAAAAGTTATCTGGTTTTTTAACTTACCCCGTCCTGGTTTTCTAATTTCTTTGACTATTGCCTGTTTTAAGGTTTTATTAATTTCGTTGATTGCAGCCCGACTAATGATTGCTTTAGGTTCTCCACATATCGCCCTCTTTTGATGTTCCAGGTTATTTATCGGCCTTCGTTGAGTGTTATTATTAACAACTTGCTCTGAATTAAGTTCATTATGATTAAGTGACATCATCTCTTTGTCTTCGAGCATTTGGATGGTATCGATAGTATTGTTGATTGAGGATGCAGGAAGAGGTTCAGGTTTTATGAGAATTACATCTGGTGGTTTATCATCTGCTATTGGTGGTGGCTTACCTAAAAATAGCACAAAATTATAAAAGTATTTTATCATTCTGCTGCCTTAACAATGTTATTGAAACACTGTGTGGACTTAACAACCACAACTACAGCAACAAGAAGACCAGTGGATGGAATTGATTGTACCAGGTTCAAAAGGTTAATGGATCTCTAGGATTCAGTGCAAACACAAGTGATTACCATCAGTGCAGCTGACTGAGCTATGCTGCTTTCAAATCTTTCTGGTGGTAAATTAAGCAACACACATCCCCTACTCTCTTACATTTTTAACATGCACATTGACCCAAGGATTAATTTGTATCATCCAAGAAAAGTGTGTTACTCTTAATCTTACATTTCAGCCCTCTAGCAGAAACACAAGCAGAATTGAACCAGGAACCAAAGATAGACTATCATTTTACTCTGTAATTGGTGAGTGTAAATAATTTAAAAATTACCCTGACTATTCTGGTCAACAGTTGGTTTCTTTTCCCGTCTTTGCACTAACTCTAAGTAGGGTTTTTTAAGAATTCCTCCTTGTACACTGCCCAACATGGCTGGTGAGTTTGGTCGACGACTTGGTGGTGACGGTGTGGATGGACGCATTCTTTTAGCTGCTGGTGAAGTCGGTGGAGTGTCAATGGATCGCTTGTTCCTTTGTTGTGGTGCCGTCATTGTGTCGTTTAGGTCTGCTTCATCAACCATCATTTTCTGGAGAAAAAAAAATGTATTTATAAACAAATTGGAGGAAAGGCAGTTTTTTGTGTCCTTTAGGAAATGTACACATACCTATACATGTATAGTTTCTCTTATATAGCAGTAACCAGGTTACCTGTATGCTAAACCTAATGTCTCATAATCAACTCTTCAGCCTCAGATCTTTTAACATAAATATCTTTGCACATATATGCCACTCTAATATTGAATGAGTGTCTTTTTAATTGACAGCCTAAACTGCAAATGCTGGATTAACTATTCCACACTTTCTTTTTAGTTCATTTTTGTATGGCGCTTTTAACAAAGCTACTCACATTTACTATAATCGAGAACCAAACACCATCACTTCATTCACAGACAGCACAAAACACATGTACAATATTATCATGTTAATAAAACCATGTCAAAGAATCAGATCAGCTCTGGATACCTATAAATCAAGGGTTGGCTTGACTAACATAAAAACTTTTGTTTCTCAAAAGAGTTTTAGCGAAGGTGATTTATGTATATTAAGAGGCAACTCATTCCAATATTGAGTTCCAAGACAAGAGAATGAAGTTTCCAGCCTTGGTCTTTATAAATGGAACCACAAGCCTATGGGTGTCCAGAGCAGACCTGAGTCCACTTTGGCTGGTAATTAACACTTATGGTATGCTTCAGGTCTACTAGGGTGCTCTTGTCAATTCCTATCTACAAAGATTTTATGTACAGTACTTAATAATAACAATATATTTATTCTTATATAGCGCAGAATGCTGGAAACCTCTATGCGTTTTACATTAAAAGCAAAACTCGGATCAAAATTAAAAGAAAAGATGATTACAACAGTAAGCGAAAATTAGGTTAATTTTATAATTGATTATTTAATTTTTATAATAATGTTTAATTATAAAAAATTTTAACCAAGGTTTTATCTCAATTACCTCCTCATGCCATTTTGTTATCCTTTTCTATTTTATTTTAGATTTCTTATCTATTCAACTATTTCACTGTTTAAATTTTCTTATGTGTTTGGCTTGTCGTTTCTTTCCTTTAGTTTTCCTACCTTGTCCTTTTCCGAAGCCAACTTGAATGGATTTCCAAACATATGTAAACGTGCTGGAGGAGGATCTGCTTCCCGTAGTGGAGTCTGCATCCTCTTCAGGTAGTCCTGGTAGTTGCCCATCTCCGCTATTGGGATGTCATGAAGTTGGTCTATGGGTGATAAAAATATTTTTAGAAATGAATTGAGAACAAATTTTTAAATTACACTGGTAAATTTATTCAAAAAGCCATAGTTTTGATTGCTAGATTTGGATTTTATCAGTCATAATTGTACATTCCCCAATTAAGCGAGTAAATTGGCTGAGCGGTTAAGACGGTAACCGTGACATACAACTATAATATCGGCGCTGGTTCAAACGGCACGCTCGCCTATGGTTCTAGTGGTGGAACATGTCTTCTCGGATAAGGACTCTAAACCATAGGTCCAGTGTACACAATTGGCTCGTGTGCACTTTAAAGAACACAGTACATCCTTCGAGAAGAGTAGGGGGTTACCCAGGTGTACGGGTCCATTTTAGCCCCGTCTGGCCATAGAACAAGCATTTACGTCGCGACCCATGTCAGGTATCCTACCTGTGAATCCTTCTACTACCCTACGTAAGCAACATCATACACACTAGCTACATAGTGACTCGAGAAGATGAATATTCATCAATTACACGAAAGATTTGTTGTGCTTGATATATACTTAGTCTTAGGAAGCGATGGTGGTTTAGGTCGTTTTTTTTCAATCCGGAGACCTTACTTCAAATCCTATGAGGTACCATAATTGTTTTCTTATGATTAAACACAACTTTACTCCCGAAGCAGACATAAACAATTTTTAGCCACATCCTTTAGCAACAATATAAAAAATTTACATACAACACGATGGTATCACGTTTTATCATCAGATTTTAAGGAACTATACAATTTTTTACATTATTTCATATGCAAATTTATAGTGAATAACAAAAGATTGCTTACCACTTTCTGTGTGTTTAATACCCGTGGCTGCCACTCTCATCAGGTTTTTTCGCATCCGCTGAAGTTGTTCAACAAGATCTTTACGTGGGATATCAAATGGATTGTGATAGACTTGCTGTTTCACGGTCTTATGTATTGGCGCCGCAAAAGAGAAATTGTGGAATAAAGAGATGTTGTTATCAGGCCTTGATGTCACCGTTTCGCCTGTTATACTCTGAAGAAGTTGCTGAAAATCCTTCCGAACAGCTAATGAAGGCATTTGTGATCTGAAAGTAATGAAATACACTAACAATTTTTTTCATTTAAATGGAAATCAATTTTTTTTCACTGACTGACATCAATTACAGAGAGTTAAACAATCACTCTCCAGGAGACGACAAAAATCTTCCAAGAAACATCAACCAGAAGTGACTACAGTTGAAAATGGGGCCAAACCTGATTAGAGAAATCTATCTGTAATTCATTCCATGTTGTATTTTATTTATATTTGCGTTGTGGTCCTTTTATATAGATAAATATATATATATATCTATATATTTTGTTGTCAATGTACTGTTTGTTGTTTTTGTCCTTGTGTGAATTGGCTTTCCTTATGTAAATGTCTTAGTGTTGTCCTTTTCTTAATGTATGTTTAGATGTTTTTCTTTTTGTCATAATGCTAATTGATTTTGGTGTGTTGTCCTTTTTTTAATGTACGTTTAGATGTTTTTCTTTTTGTCATAATGCTAATTGATTTTAGTGTGAATATTATGCTAATGTCTTTTTGTTTGTCCTTTTCCAAATGTACGTTTTGTCGTGATTCTAACTGTTGCTGATTTTTTTTCCTCCTGTGTCAGTCCTTTTTCTCTGTGTTTTGATTTTCTCGCTTGTTGCATTTTAATGATATTTTATCTTTTAATAATCTTGTATTTTGTACATTTTGTATTACAAAATGTACAAAATACAATGAATTGCGAGTAGATTTAAAATCTACTCGCAATTCAGTTATATTTTACTGCTATGAGTTTTAATAATAAAAACATAATGAATGAATGCATCCTGTGTGATGTTTGAAATAAAGAGAACAACAATGAAACTGTACAGCATGTCTCCTCTAGCTCAGAGCCTCTATATTACCCTACAGTATCTTGTTTACAATTAATCCAAAATCTACAATTATTTTTGTTTCAATATTAATTGTAAACAACGACCGTCTATGTTACATCACAGGAGGTTATCAAGGCTTATCTTGACAAAAATACTGATAAAAAAGAGAATTTTAAAAATAGATTTTTTGAGGAAGTAGGCTAGGATGATAGTGACAAAAGGAATATGTAAGCAATTGACAGGTTAGCCTAAGTAAGTTAGATAGATATTTTTGGTATACCGCAATAAATTAATGCAGTGGAGAAGTGTAATGTGATCTGCCAAGTGTTATAGACATTGATAAATCTTTAACAGCTTCTAAATATTTTAATCTTAAAATACACTTCAGAATTCAATTGTCTAGAATACATAATGAGAATACAAATAACTTACCTTTGTAAGACTTTAATACTGAGATCTCTGTGGGATCTCTTCTTCGGTATAAGTGAGGCCATTCTCTCAGCCTCAATTTTGGACTGCTGTTTTAATTTTTTCATGTAGTTTACAACGCTGTAGCTTAGACAGTTTTCAACGTTATCCGGGATCAAGTTTGGTGTACCCAGTCTTCGTAATGCTGTTCTCATAGGCTACATGATAGTAAAAACTTTGGTGAGTTGTTTTGATCAACAGTAATTTCTTTAGACATGTTTACTATTAGTCAGTGGTTGCCAGTAGTAACAATTTTTTAAACATTTTTATGGAGACCGAGTAGTTAATAGTAGCAACAATTTTATTATTTATTTTATTGCCAATGTCATTCTAGATAACATAATAAACTTATTAAAACTGATCTTCACATACCCCTAAATAGTAGCTGGGAACCTCCCTGAGATAAGCATCAAAACTCATCCTCCATTTGGGTGTAGGCTTCATTTTGTGCACTTTAATAAGGTCATCTGTAATAAAATAGTACATATTACCAACGTTAACAATAACAATTACCAAAATCGGGCTTGCCATCGTAAAACCAGCATCAGCGACCAAAAAAATGATAATTAACTTTTTAATAGTCTTATTATCCACATTATATGCTTTAAAATGATGGGTCATTGACTGGAATCGATTTACTGTAGCTATAATTATGAGTAAAAGTATTACAGCTTCTCTGTACTAAAGTATACTACAATACTGCCACATTCATATGCAAATCACCCAGTTTAACAATTAGTGACAATATGTTGGTTTTGGAATGGCAAACTTCATATGTGCTTTGAGCATTTGTAGATAAGTGAGCTTCATAATATTGATGAAATTGGTTATGATATTAATAACAGAAAAAGCAATAAAAATTATTTGATATAAATAAAATAAAATAAATTATAATAATAATTATATGTAGTACATCAAAAGTTACACACCATCAGTAGTAAAACTAATTATCATAAACAAAAGTTATCGGTGTTTTGCTTAACAATATCATTCAAAGTATTAAGTGTTATTACCACAACTTTTACCTATTTTAAATGTGTATATCTTTCAAAACAATAATAATAATAATTATAATTTAGGAATATTAATAATATAAGAGTTGATTGGCATGCTATTGGTAAAGAATAAATGTATGCATTAAATCTTACCAAGTAACGGAAGAAGAACTGGATAATTGTACGGCATGATAAACAGGTTCACATGGGCTAGGTTAGTACTTGCCTTCAGGTAACCAAATGGGTGACCTAACTCACTGTTCTTTCCACTGTTTTCAATAAATACCTACAAATAATAAGATTGGTTATATTAGTATGAATTTTTTTTTTCACAGCAATAGAGTCTTAGTTATTGGATGTAACAGTAGAAGAGTGGAATATCAATGACAAAAATAAATATCCATCCAATGTTAATAATGCTAAATATTTCGATGCTTGACTGTATTTTCCTTAAAAGTTGGTGACCTTGCGCATACTTTAAAAAAAATGTCCAATCTCAAGCAAATCCTGAAGAAATCTCTAAAGCAAGCCAGTGTGAGATGCTAGACAGGTCTGCAACTATAGAATGCTATTATGTAGAAAGCACAGCAAAAAGTGCTTACGCAAAACAAAGATGTATTCATCAATTTAATTCAATTCAATTCATTTTATTCAGTCTATTATACATAAATATAACAGAAATGTGCTTTGAAGCCAAGCGATCAAACATAAAAAAAAGTATTAAGTGATGTTAGAACAGTAAGATAAACTATAAAAACATTAAAAGACAGTAAAAAGTATTAAGATACTGTATATTATTAAAACACAGTACGATGACAAACGGCAAAGAGCAGAAAATGCATTAAAATAGTACAAAATCAGCCCTATATTGGCCAACAAAATTTATGCCCAGCTTTACAGAGATATGCCAAATTGTAGCTTTTGTTTACTAGTATTTTACACTGAGTAAAAGTTTTTACAGTGACATTTTTCGTTTTCGAACCTCCCAAGTACGAACTCTCTATTTTACGAACGTGGCTTGTGGCGAAAACATATTTACGAATGATTAAAATTGCCAGCAAACTTACCTGCCAACATATATTGTGATTTCTTCGTTCTAATATGTTCTGGGTTAAAGGTGAAGGTTCCAGTTCATATTTATCAAATGGCATATTATCAACTACCATTGGTTCACAGCTGGCGCAGGAGAATTTTACAGCTGGATGCGAATCCCTAGGTGGCTGAAAATAAATTAAAAGCATATCTCAACATAATTTTAATCCATATAGAATATTCCATACATGATTTATCAATTTACACGGTTTTTTTTTACTTTGTATACTTTGTTAATTATAATACTACAGATACTCAGAGGTCCTATGTCTCCCGCAAGTCATAGGAGTCTCCCGGAAATGAGGAAGGCATCCTGAACTCTGGCGAGCAAGTAAGAAATAAAAAGAAAATTACACATCTCCCGAAAATTCATGATACTTGCATGCTTTTACCACTATTTAATACTGTATTGTCAATTGTCTTCCGGAAGTCAGTGCCGAAGGGTATCACCATACACAGCAAAATAAAATCAGATGTGTTTGAAAAGCTCATTTAAACAGATATTCCGGATATGGATTCTTTTAACTTGGGAGCCCTGGATAGTTGATCTGCCATTTCGTTCTAATTTTAACTAGTGTCGATGCCTTAAACTTTGTTTCCAACTTATTTTGGTCTGCTATCCATACATTTTTTTCTTAACTTGTTCTTAATGTAGTTTAGTAGACTATTTTATGTTTAAAGTTCATTATTCATCTGATTTGTTGTTTAATATTCAAAAATACAACAAACATAATAATACTTGAAAGAATTTGTAACAAAGTCTTACCAACATTGGTGAATTTATGTCTGGCCAAAACGATTCTGGCACAGGCCAGTGACCAGACGGGAATCCAGTCTTCGGATTTGGACGAACATAAATCATACGATGACAGCTATGCCACGAGCTGTCAGGGATCGGTGATGGACCTCCTGGACGGGTAGCTCCGGGCAGAGCACTGATGTTTAAGGATGCTACTTCATTCCCTCCATCTTCATCACCTGAGTACGAAAGAATTTATCAATCAATCAATCAACAATGAACCAAGATATTTGTACAGCACACAACAATTTTTGGTATTATGTTATGTTTGATGTTAGTCAATTTTAAATTAAATTATATTTAGTAATTAAATTTTTATTTCATTCTTGGTCCAACAGCAAATGAGTCACTACTTTCAGGAAGGAATTAATGATGTGATGCTCCAACCGATTCTTTAGTGAGAGGTATTTCAGTTGGATCAATTCTCCTGGAATTATTCCAACTATTGACTTTCCATTTTTCAATTTTTTTTTCTAAATAAAAGCTGGAGTGACTTGTATTTAAGTATAATTAAGTATGCTGTAATGTCGACTATTACAAAAAAAAATATTTGTACAACCATATACAGTACACATACACCTCTTCTATCAAGATATGGATTATAGATACAATAAGCTTGTTCAGTATAAGGAACCTTTTTTCTTCAACCAGGCAATTGTTTTTCGATACTATTTGAATTAAAAGATGTTATGGTATAAAACCTTTCCCACATTTTTCAGCCTCTCAATTCTCTAGACACTTAATGTTTTTTTTTTCAATGCTGAATAACCATTTATAGTATGACTAAGAATACCTCTACATGTAGTAGAGAAAGTTGGAAATTGTTCACTTATTGTTATGTTTTCCAGTGACCAAGACAACAATAGTAGTGTAGAGACAGTACTATTAAACAATTATTGTCCCGTTCATTATAATATAATTATAATAATTGCATTACATTATTAAAATAACATTAAAAAAATATTATTCCAGTGAAGAGGAGGACAATTAAAAAAATACAGGATACCTCAATGTCGAGGAAGTCAAAAAGGGAAGCTGTTAATAACTTTATAATGAAGACCACACAAAGACTTAACACTGAATGTGTGTATACAGTAGGAACAATCTGAGGCACAACGGCCTGCACAGAGCTCACTCGATGATGCATCATTCCATGGCCCTGGGTCCAAACCAAATGAATGCATATATTTCTTAATGTTTGTATGAAAATAATTAATGTATATAAGGCTCCTCACCAACATAAAATAGACAGTTAAAATAACAGAAACAATTGTAAGAATATTGTACTATTTGAAATAAAAATAATATATTATAACAAATAAAACCAGTAAAAGCCAAATTGTCTGGCAATTAACTCAAAGAGATTCTCAAAAGGTGTTAAGTTTACATATTAAAATTAAAAGATTAGCATCCATACACTTACTGTATTTATTTTAATTCAAAATTCTATTGTACCAAAAACTAAATCATGGTTACTGTAGCCTCCCAGTAAAATAAGTTATAGAGGGACCTCACACTAAAGCTAATTATCTTTGAGATAAAATTTACTCTATTTCCGACACAAAATGGTCAATTGATCAAAAACAGTAGCCAAGTGGGTTAATCAATAGATTTTGAGGTGGTGCAGTTTACATTGTCATGCAATGTAATTTAAATGAATCTTCATGTCGTCGGTAGTTAAAATAAAAAATACTCTTAAAAAAATAATTGATCAGCCAGAAAAAAAAATAGGCCGTCCAAATAGGATGAAGAACTTGTCGCGTAGCGACAGTCAAGGGGAAAAGCCTTGAGCAGGGGTGGGTTTGGGAGGTGATGTCTCCCTCCTTAAGAAAAAAAAAAAAATAATCCTTAGTGTATTTAAAGGTGTTTAAATGTTGGAATCTTGTCTTCAAAGGAATAGTGCTGAATTAGCTATCACAAAGATATTTCAGTTATTGATATAGACTGTGCACGGTTTATGTGTTTACTCGCATTATTTTTCTAGGCTATGCAGATGCATCTTCGTCTCACGATAGTCTAGTGTAAATTTTACTCTAGGTCCTCCTAATCAAGAGATGTATAGGCCTAGGCCTACTGTTTTTTGTTGACTATTAAATTTAACTTGTTAACAACAAATCTGCTTTACGGTATTTTATGAATTAATTAATCAGGGAGTCACGAACAGGAACAATATCTCGGGGGATCCGAATCTCAAGTACTGTATTTGTAGAGCCACATGCTTGAGTTGTGGGCGACTTAGAACCATCCCTTTTCCCGTGGGGTATAAATGTTTTTAACACGACATATGGGTGTTGTAAGTAAACTTTTCACCGGGTAGACAATGGTTTAGCCTACCTTTTTAAGAATCCCACCGAATGTCAGTATGAAATGAACGTAAAGGTTAAAAATGTCAATAAAGGTTGTTTTGTCAAACGTATATATGATTTAGCTTTAGTTTGTTGCAACATTCGATAGATTCGAAGAAGGTATATAAAGAATTTGCTAAAGGTAGACCAGGCCAACTAGGCTAGGCCGAGCTGAGTAGGCCAAGCCATCACGGTAAAAGTGGCTGTCATAAATAATTGCTGGCAATTAAAATAATCGCTGGCAAACCCTTGATCTAGAGATATAATACAAGAAAAATAAGGGGAAAGGGAGGTGTGGCTGCTGCTATGAAGAGTTTACTGAATAGTGAACAGCAGCCTGTGCTCAAGGTTGTTTCAGATAAAATTACAGGACATACTTCCAAATGAATTAGAGAAAAGTGGAAGGAAATCATAGAGCAAAGAGTAGGATCTAAATGTCATATTATTGCGATATTATGGCAAAATGGAAGCCAGTGCTTTCACACAGGATGGAACAGAAAGCTGTACGTACCGAGAAAATAAAGGCATTAACATCCTTTATTGCAAACATAAACCAGGGTTTAAGGTTGCATTTGATGTCAGCAAGTATAAAAGTTTGAAGAGCCATTTGAATAAATAAAAATTGTTTACTGCCAAATACAAATTATTGCCTCCTGTAAAAAGTAAACCTTAATGGGTATTGAAATAAAATATGTTATTCCTTTACGAAGGAATTCAATTGTATATAATCATTTTTCTTAATTATCTCTATGTTCTGTATAATTTGTACATATTATAAATAATCAAATAACAAACATAACAACATAAACAACATAAACAACATAAACATAAAGAAATTGATAAACACTTTAAATTTATATTATAAGATTTGGCACACTTGAAAACTATGCTAGTCTTTATATTTTATTAATCATCAAAATCAAGTATTATAAAGAATACTATTATTTTACAGATTAGATTAAATATTTTACACTTAAGTAGTTTTATGTCTTTTACTAAGCTCTTGGTTTGCTCCTACATACTATGGTAGTTGGGCTATATTGTAAGTATTATGTTAATGTTAAAACTATTTTCCTTCTGTTTGAATTCTGTTTAATGATTCATGTGGTTATACTGTATTCATATATTTAGAAAGCAGTAAATAGATTTGATGTTATCCTGATGAGTGTAAAGTTAATACAAAATAACAGTGGCAGATCAAGAAATTAAAAAAAATATATGTAGAAATGGTGGGTCACCTCAGCCCCACCATGGTTGGGGGATGAGGTACAGTATGGCTATGACACCTCTAGATGACCAGAAATGTCAATCTCAGTTCTCCTCCATTTTTATATCAATTTCCGAAAATTCAGACGGGGGTGGGGAGCTGGCCATTTCCCACTCTCTTTGAATTCATCTCTCAATAATAACAGAATAATAATAGAATTCAACCCTTTTTGTGTGTGATTTTAATGTTGCTGAATTTGTATATCTTAATAATTTTAATGTATTGCAACATTCTCGCAATTCAGTTTTCTTTTTGTAAGTTAGTGCAAGGAAATGAAATAAATTAAACTTGAAATAAATAACATTAAGTCAAACTTAAAGATGATTTTATACAGAAAATGATAAAAGAATTTCCATTTGAGTGGTCCACTAAATGATAACGTACCAAGTTTCTTGTTGTCACCTTTATTCTCTTGGTTGACCCCATTCATATGGTTGCCATCTAGTGTCTGTAGTGATTTGGTAGTTGTGGAATTTGCATTCCCTGTTATTGCTGTGGCTTTATATGCTACAAATAAAATTAGTGAGAATATAATTGTTAATAAATGTCTACAATAATAATTATAATATGTATAGCAGTTTGAACAACTGTTTAGCTATAGTGAAAATGGAATTTTTGCAGGCTACTTATTGCTAGTGAAAATATTTTGGCCTTCCAAGTTCCTAAAAGAATAGGGAGCTTTCGGTTGCATGACGACTGTAGGAAAAATTGTATCTTTTCTTAACTCAAACCTATGTAAACAGAACAAAAAAATATAAAGCAAAGTGTCTTATTGGCAGGCCTTAATTGTTCACCTTGCTCCTATTACTTGCCAATAATATACTGAAATATCTATGTAAATGAGTGTCTAATACTTACTTTCCTGAATTGGTTGAGGGTCAGGTCCAATTTTTTCAAAATTTAAAACAACACCACTCTGCATTTTCTGTGATAATGACTCTAAACATTGATAGAGCGTCTTCATCGAATTTACCGTGTAAGAACGACCTAAGATAAAGACAAGTGTGTAAATAAAATAGTTAAGTGACACAACAATCTTTTATAAAGGTCATTAATACAAAGTTTTAGAAACAAACTGTGACCCCTCACATGTTGAAACTTTGACAATAATGATAACAGTTTCCTAAAAGGGTGTGGTATTCAGTCTTGTGGTTGCATGTAAAATAGTAAAGACCTCTTTTGACTTTAGAAGAATGGAAAATGAATTTTTTATTATAATTATTATTATTATTATTATTTCCAGACACAAACAAATACAGCGACATACAAAATAGCACCTTTGCACCTACTGTAATCATGTACAGAAGGACTGCTTAACATTATAAATCCAGACTCTTCATTATTATCGTCGCTGCCGCCAACCCTAGCCCCCTTAGAACTTTTTCTCAGATTAACAAAAAGAGACATGACAGCAGGAAAGCATTTGACTAAAAACCTGGATAGAAACAATATCAAGATATTTGAAGAATCGTCACTGGATGGAAAGAAATATTTCCAGGTGGCTGGGAAGAAACATTGCCTGGTAGGTGTAATTAACGAAGCCAATGTTAACAGGAAGAAATGCTCATACACTGTAATACTGTAGAGAATAATGCATATTTCATGTTTGTTTTTCAAATTTGTATACTTTAATCAAATTACGTATTGATTTTAATCCAAATAAACCTGTAGGTTTCAACCCTCTAGAGAGCAGTCCAAAAATGAACTGCGAGATACAGAATTTGGGCTGCAAAGGCAAGATATCAAAAATTTTATAGCAATTGATTAAAATGTTAATGAGTGAATTTTGTCTGATTTCTTGCAAATCATTCAAACACAACACTGAAAAACGACCAATGTTTAAATTATGAAATTGCCATTTCCAGGAATCTTAGAGGAGTCATAACTCACAATTTTCTTAGCTCCAATCTGAGGTGGTTATCTCTGAAGCCAGCAGAATCTTCATTAAAGGTATCATTTTAAGCAATTTAAATATGGTCTCCACAAAGGTTGAGAATTGGGAAATTAAACAATCATGGATACTCACCCCCTGTTACGTCACACATGGACGTTATCGGAGAGTTGTCTACAAGTACCATGGATCCAGATGGTCTGTCTGCCTCCATCTTTTCTACACCAGGAATACGCAGTACAAGTGCAAACAACCGTTGATCCCAACGGAAAGGTTCCTTTGTTAAGTCACCACCGGGAATTGAGAAACTCATTGGTAGCTGAAGCTATAAAAATAGAAAGTGTTCGCTTTACATGGGTTTTCCTTTTCCTGATAATGATGAATTAATTACAAACACATTTAAGATTCCATACTGTACCGCACACAAAGTAAAGCCAATATGGCTTGGCTGAAGTAAATATACAAATAAATAGTCTGACAGATTATAACCTACCTAAATAGAGTTGAATCTCATGATACTGTAAGTGTAACAATTAATTTATTAGCTTTAGAATGCCTGAATCAAAATTGATTCAAAGGTATTCAGGAATTCTCAAGTTTCCAAATTTAATATCACACTGGGTAAATAGGCTTACAGTTGTACAGTAACTAAATTATTTCATACCTCATCATGTACACCAGTGGTGGAGGTGAGAGAGCTGCCGTCAGTTATTGCAATAATCATTGCAGGCTCCAAGTAGAATGGGTTACGTCCCTAATTTGGAAAGAACAAATATTTAAATAGTAAGAAATTCAACTAAATTGAATCATGATATAAAAAATATGTCTTGTAGAATATGACAACACCAAGATTATGGTCTTTACTGTACATTCAACAGTTATAGGAATCTGCAGAGACATGACAAAAAATGTATTAAACTTAACCATCCTGGATTATTGTACCACATTTTCTGATGATTTTTTTGATTAAAAAACAATAAATAATGCGATAACATGAAGAAAGCTTAAGTTAGACCTTTGTGGTGGCAGCTCGAAGAGGCCTACACCCTGCAGTTTGGTTCGACAATGTGTAAATACGATGAAGATGAAAATGCATAGGTGTGTCATCAGGCAAGGCAGACAGACTGCAATGGATGACAGCGGTCACTAAATGGAAACCAAGGAATGGTTTGTTTTAGGTACAGTACTCATGAGATAAGCAATATTGAGAGATTACACAGTCCCTGTAATTTGCATAATCATCTGGATAATGAAAGCGCAAATTTTTGTTTTCTTTACAGATCCTTACTACATCTACTAGAAGGTTATATTTCATAGACAAGACTTTTTTTTTATATACTTTGTTTAGTCAAGGCAATTTAACAAGCCACTAGAATGTTATCAAATAGCATTTTTCTATTATTTGCTATTAATGTTATACTATAGGATAAAAATCCACTCTTTATCATATATTACTTTAAAATATTAGTCCAATTTTTATGAACCAAATTGTCACTTTTAAAGCACTCAAGCTATTACCGTAGTTAATAAAAAAATGGGACTAGAAAGATATTTGTGCAAAGCATAACAAATTTAGTAATTACTGTAACTACAACAAACAGGTTCACAAATCAAAGTACAGTATCAAACAGTCTTGCTTTATGTTTCATAAGAGTTTGATTTACCAGCAGTGCAGATGCATGTTTATCCAAGCATTCAAATAATAGAAATATTATAATGAAACATCTTCATTAGGTTTAATTGTATGAATGAATGTACCAAAATAAATCATAAATCAATTAACATGTTGGCTACCAAAATTTGTTTGCTAGTTATTGCCCATTGCCAAAGGATAGAGGATGTCACCATTAAGAAAATAATTCTCCATCAACTTTAATAAAACACAAACAAACGTACAGTATATTTTTTTTTATATCATTGCTTCCAGGTTCTTTTCCGTGAACTGCCAGGGGCAAGAGTTTGTGTTAGCTCAACCACTGCCAGTATGTTTACGTGCAATACAAATCACCGTACTCGCGCGAATAAGCACCCGGGCGCTTAAAATAATTTTTGCACTTTTTGAGGGGCGCTTATTGGAACGGGGCACTTATGCGAACAGGGCGCTTATTCGAACGGGGCGCTTATCAAAACAGAGTGGAAATTCAGGGGGGGCTTATGGAAATAGATGAAAATCGAGGGGTTCTTATGAGAACTTATTAAATTCAAGAGGCACATTTTGAATGAAAAACGATCATAAAATGACATCAGGAAACTGCATATTATGGAGTGGAATGGTGGTGCGGCGGAAAAGATAATCGTCCAGAGAGCATGGCTTGTCATGACAAGAATGTTGTGAGTACAGTATTACCTAACAGCAGAATAGCAGATGAAATTAGTGGTGGTGGTTAGCTTGTTAGCCATCGGCCGATCAACAGAATGGCATGATCATTGCAGGTTTTCTTGAAAACTCAGATGAGAATGTGTTAGGTACAAATTGTCGGAAAAGCAGTAGGACTATGCTATAGAAAAATGTAAGAAGATGAGAGTTGGAAACATACTGTCTGTCCGGGGAGCTCTCATCTGTCCAAGATAAATATTCCTCATTTTGATATTGACTGAATGACTCCACTCCACACCTCAAATCATGCTAACATCCACAGTCCAGCATTGATTGAATTATTGAGGGGGCGTTTATTCAAATTAGAAGGGGCGCTTATTCAAACGGGGTGCTTAAGGAAATTTTCAAGTAGGAGGGGCGCTCATTCGAGAGGGGCGCTTATTCGCGCGAGTACGGTATGCCAGAAAAAAAAAATATTTGCGTTGGCCACGTTCTGGGAAAATCCAAAAAAATGGGTAGGTCAGTAGGAATTTTTATTTTTTATTTTTATGTGTTTATGCCTAAAGTAGAAAATCAAATAATACCACAAATTTGGATTCGCATTGCATACCATCCAGCAAAATAGGCTAGCCTTTACTTTTCATCTAAAGATACCATAAACAAAAGCACAGTAGATGAAAAACTTTAAAAAATAATTTAAATTTGAAAGGTAATGCAGAAGACTGCACACTTTGGAAAAAACTCACCAAACCATAGTTGTCGATGCCTGTGTACAATCTATTTACATTTAAAAGGTCAAAGGTCTTACGAAGAGCAAGCCCAATATTTGACAGACTGTTTGCTTCCAGGTTCTTCAATTCATTCATGAAGGTTGCATGGTTATCCTTCCATCCAGCCTAAAATGAAAAAAATGTTGTGTCATTATTAGATTTACTTGGACTGGATTTAATCAGCAACAAAAACAGGTAGGAGACACTTTGTAACCCAGAATTTTTGTAACTCTGCTGCAGATATTAGCAAGACAAGATATGAAATGTCTGCAAAGATATCCATCATTCAGTACACGTATGCAAATGTGTTTTCAAATAACAGGGGCAGATCAAGAGATATCTGAAAGGGGGTGGGGGGGGCGGGCAATCGAGAAACAGCACTACCCATGGAGCTGCCGGAAATAACCTCAGGGACATGTTTAGTGCTCTCAATAACTTCTTCTACTTTCTTTTTTTAACTTTCCAAAAGGGGTGGGTAGCCCGGCACTCTCATATTCGCCCCTGAATAATAATTAATGGATAGATAATTTTCTGTAGATGTTGACAAGAGTGGTTGGACGTGTTGCGGTTATGTTTCAGTCGGTGTGTCAAATTGTAGATCCCAATTAAAAAATCCCTATCCCTATTATTAATAAAATCATTATTATAGAAACTGAGCTTAAAATCGTCTTAAGTCCATTTTTTTGCTTAAGTCAAATTTATCCATACTGCTTAGCTTAAAAATTGCTTAAAATTATAAAGTCGATTGTACGTTGGTGCCATCTAATACAATTCTTAAGCCAAGATTTTGCTAAGATTGGGTAATAAATCAGCTTAAGATATTTATTAGGGACATCTTAACTTTTTTGACTTAAGACATTTGCTAAGCTGAGATTGATAAATTCCGGGCCTGGTGCCAAAATTTGCCCAATGGGGAAGTAAAGCTATATCCACACTAGCATATCCTATGTGAAAAATTAATGCGATATGTGGCTATGCCCATATTTGGGTGCAATACTAATGACATCATGCCCATATATAGGCACGTAACATCACACAAATTTGTCACAAAATGTCTGATACAGATTAGTGTGGACAGTGCCTAAACTGTAACCGGCAGCTAGAAAAAGAACTGCTCTCTTTTTATAGTTGGATGCAAATTTGAACAAAGAAAAATAACTTTTGTATTATCTGTTTATATTACTGTAATTTATCTCATAACTTACAATTTATTTTGTTCTGAACTGTTCATGTTAATTGGAACCCAAAATTCTGATGATAATGTTTGGTTGATTTAATTGAGGGCTGGCTGTAACCTCAGAATGCATGGATTCAAATGTTCATGAATTTTGATTACTGTTTTAACTTTTTTGAATGGAGACAAAAAAATCTGTTGGCTTTTCAATGAACAATGAATGTACTGTTGTTTTCAAATCCGAGGCCCAGGCTTACATAATAAAGTTACACAGGCGCTATTTGTACCACCATTGGTAAATTAAAAAAAGTTCAGCAAAATTTGTTTATAGGCCTATTTGTCAATATTATTAATGGTTTGCTTTATGTATGATGGATTTTGAATTGAATATTTATTTATTCAACAAATTTATAAAATGTTCATTTATAAAGACAAAAATACAAACTGGAAGACATGTTTTATTAAATTATATTATATTTGCTAGGCCCTATAGTACTGTCTTTAGCAGCAACAGACTCTGTTTTGGCCTCCATGTGTTGTGTACTCGTCATTCAACTGCTCTTTCAGAATATACATTATTTATATGTAAAATTTGCATATGAATTAGGTATCCCATCAGACATTGCTGCGAGCCTGCTGCACAAGAGGAAGCAGTCGATGTAAAATGCTCGTATATTTAGGAAAAAATATGGTGAAATCGTTGATGGTGAAGGAGGATTTCAGTGTACAATATTACATTTGAGATGCTCTGCCGCCGGATACCTTCAGACTATAAGGAGATATTTTATATAAAGCGAAATTTTCTGTGTTTGATTGTACCTTTATTGTGCCTGGTTCATCACAAGTGACGAGCATGTAGCGGTCACCTCTACTTGTTTGGTCGCGCATCCGAACCTAGCAATAAGAATAAATAGAAGTGTAACGAGATCTGAAAATACATCAGAAATCATAAACATATTAAGAGTTGTATTTTTTTGTAAAAAAGAGATTATTTAATGACCCATTTTAATTCGATAACAGCGAGTATTTATTGAAAATTAGAGACTTTAAAACCGGACACCCCCATACCTTCATGAACGTTTCCACGGCCCCTTTCGCAATGTCCAACATTGTAGTGCCCAAATGTGTCCGCTGATTCATAGAAGCACTGGTATCGACGAGAAAAACTAACACCGGCATCTTGAAGTTTGGTAATTACAGCATGGGTACGGTGAATTTCGGGCCAAAATACGGCCTCTAACAAATAAAATATACCTAATCACTGTCCCTTGTTTCAGATTGCTGGCGAGCTAAACGCTGCCGTTTGAGCAGCAGCACGCCACATCGGAGGGTCATGTGATCTCCGCGCCATGATCTTTGTGATTGGTTGCCGACCTAGTAAGATTTGCATATTTTGGAAGATTTGACGTCACGTCCTCACCATTATCCAGACGGAGTGCTACCAGACCTATTTATAAATCGTTTTGTTCTATGGATTTTACAAAATTAACCTTATTGATATGTAAATTACTTTGAACTTATTTACGTACTCAGTTTAGACAAAAAGATATTCAATCATTAGGTGTTTCCCGTGTGTAAAACAATTGTCTATAGTACGAAAACGAATACATGTCCGGGCCTATACATACTTTAGATATTAGACTAAATCTAATTTAAGTGAGACTAAATAATACTAATAGTGAATATTTAATAATAATAATAATAATAATAATAATAATAATAATAATAATAATAATAATAATAATAATAATAATAATAATAATAATAATAATAATAATGATGATAATAATGATAATAATAATACAGGGTAATAATAATAATAATAATAATAATAATAATAATAATAATAATAATAATAATAATGAATATTGAATAATAAATAATGAATAATAATAATATTAATAATTCTAATAATGATTGATCATTTTATTAAATTATGGCCCGGAACCTTCTAAACTCAAAAGACTTAAAAAGTAGGAGTATGGACAAGAGGGGTAGAAATATGTCGAATGATAGGTTGAAATTATTTTTCAATTTCAAATCCTTATTGTCAGATTGCCACGCCTGGTGTATCATTCCTCTCCTGAGTGGTTCTACTTTACACTCTTGTCGGGACATCGGGCTCACTTCACAATTGGTAATATTTTCCCCTCCCCATCGCCCTCTCCGGCAAATCCTGCCGCCACCACTCTGATCATCTGAATTTTGGCTTGCTTCGAGTGTTCCATTGTTGATAGTAAATTATAGTGGTTATATCGCCCTCTATAACTTTGGAGTTGTAGCAAAGATCTTACAAGACCTTTTATGGTTTTTAGTCATGAACGTTACGTTTCATAATTTTCATGGAGGATTTGTATTATAATGATAATACTTCAGTATTTAATCGAACATACACCTTTAAATCGATGGCACTCGATAAAGATTTGGTGCGTTCACAAGATACCAAATTAAAAAAAAATGATTCAAATTGATAATAAAATCATTGGAACAATATACACAAATGTTTCGTTTTTCGTTAATGCACTAAAAAATAAAAATTAAAAAACGAAACAGTTTTAGCACCCGCTTATAAAAACCAGTCGATCAAGAACCATGGTGAGCTGAGATCTGAATTCATACAACAATCTGAATTACCCTACTCGAGCGAATAAGCGCCCGGGCGCTTAAAATATTTTTTGCACTTTTTGAGGGGTGCTTATTCAAACGAGGCGCTTATTCGAACGGGGCGTTTATGAAAACAGAGTGGAAATTGATGGGGCGCTTATGGAAATAGATGAAAATCGAGGGGTTCTTATGAGAACTTATTAAATTCAAAAGGCATATTTTGAATGAAAAGCATTTATAAAAGGACATCAGGAAACCGTAAATTACGAATGGTGGTCCGACGGAAAAGATATTCGTCCAGAGAGCATGGCTTGTCATGACAAGAATGTTGTGAGTACAGTATTACGTACAGCAGAATAGCAGATTAAATTAGTGATGGTGGTCTATAGCTTGTTGGCCATCGGGTGATTGCATGTTTTCTTGAAATCTTAGATTAGAATATGTTAAAGGTGCAAATTGTCTAAAAAGGAGTAGGACTAGGCCTAGACAAATGTAAGAAGATGGAAGTTGGATATTTTGATATTGACTAAAGGAGAATGTGATTCCAGTCCACATCTCAAATCATGCCAACATCCACAGGCCCAGGATTGATTGGATTATTGAGGGGGCGTTTATTCAAATTTTCACGTTTATTCAAACGGGGTGCTTATTCGCGTGAGTACGATAATGTGAAAACCTAAAAAACCGATTTCCTCACTCCGTTCCGAATGGGTCACGGCCCATGCCAATGTTTGGGTCGCGAAGAAATTTTGATTGGTTGTGTAATCGCTTCTGATAAAAACAAAATTAATGGTAACAAACGAAAATGCCGACAAAAGAATGCCAACAACTGAACCAGGATGCATGTGAGTAAAGCTCACCGACACTTGCGATTCGCGCAATTAAATTCGCCTAGTGGAAAACCGGCTTTATTAAATAGCAAATAACGATCGGAAATTTAAACGCGCATCTCATACGCGCATCTTATGTTCGGATCGTCCGTAACACGCGAATTTACTAAAATACGCCCGACATACAAAAATCGTTGAAATATTTTCTCAAACTTGGGTGTTCTTATAATTATATGCGATCATGGTTCATCAAGTCCAAGTATCGGAAAAGGCTGAAAACAGTGGCCCTGTGTGCCAACGCGGAGAATTGCATGATCCCTGCTCCGAAGTAAAAGTAAACCATCGCACTAAATGGTCTCGGTATTAAATTTGATAAAACTTTACAAGGTAGAACTAGGCGTTTTCATACTTTCCACATTGCATCATATTGTTTAAATGACATTTTTTTTTTATATTAAAAGACAAAATTAAATAATGTGAAGGAAACAATGAACTCAAGGTAGTGATTAAAAGCAGGCAAACCTGACCACAATAATACATCATTATTTAATAATTTGGTCAAGATTTTTCAGGATAATTTGGCCTGAGGTCAATGGGTCGCGGCTGAGGCCTATTTGGATTTGGGTCGCGGGCTAAAAAGGTTGCGGAACGGGGTCCTACTATAATTAGCTTATAAGCCTAGCCTCTGGCACCCCCATTGGCGACACTACTTAGATAAATCAAATTTTAAACTTATCGTACGTAGAATATTTGATATATTCTTATAAACGATTATGCCCAAAGGGATGATATTATTTCGAAGGTCTGGATCCCTGGATCACCATGTTAAAATTTTATCTCATTAAAAAAAAAATCAAATTAATTCTTCCACCGAGAAACAGATCGAAAAAATGTCTGCAAATCGGTTGAAAACAATTTGTTTTCGATCTGTTTCTTAGTGGAAGCTAAAAAAAAAAAAAAAAAAAAAAAAAAAAAAAAAAAAAGGTATTTTTCAGGTTTTTAACTGACAGTACATTATTTAAGAATAAATTTACAATAAAATAATGAGTTTGCGGTACACTACTACATTTGATGTCTTGAGACGTAATAGTTCTGAAACTGTCATGAGCTAAACAAATTGAAAAATTAAATTTCTTGTTTGAATTGCCATATATCTATCTAACATTTGAATGAGAGGAAATTTCCCAAACAGCCTTCCTTTCCGGTATTCAGATTTTTTGCAGAGACCCTTAAATTGGCTTGTAATTAATAAGAACGTGACCGTACGTACGGTGTAGTAAAATATCTATCAACGAAACAGTGATTTTGATTCTGTTTGGAAGATAGCGTATTATGCTAGCCTATTAAATGAGCTAGTATTCAAAACCAGGATTTTGTAGGCTTTACCAATTATATCGGCATGCAGTACATCTTTAAACAATAATATTAAGTTTAATAACTGAATAACCAATACCGGGTATCACAAGAAATTCCGTGATTAACGGAATAAATGGTACGTCGGCTTAATTCCATCAAACGTATTGTATTTATTTTTTCTTCTTTTGGTATCATATTGAAATTTAAAAATGTACAGTACGGTAGGCCTACACTATTAGCATAACGGGAAGATTGCATGTGCCCATCCCTCTCCCCCAACCCCCCCCCCCCGCATTGGACCCGCCTCTTGCTTTTTATTGTGACGCATTCTCTAAAATTAGTATCGACGAGGCAATAGTGGGGGCCGGGCGCAGAGTGACATGCCAGCGGGGGTTAGACGGACGGTTTTCCACGCACTCTGCGAATCTAGGCTTGGACTCCCCCACCCCCGGTCGTCCGAGGCCTCGATCAAGGTCGTCTGACAAATGCCTATCCAGTAACGTTATTTTTATATTATTCATGGTCTAAAAGTTTGGGCCATACTAAGCCAACCCCACCTCATCTACAGTACACCAGAAATTTTCATTCTCGGGGACCCTTGCCGAGGATCATCTGGTCCCTTCCCCTCCACCTTTTCGGACTTGTCAGACATCCTGTGTTGGCAAATTTCTCAGCGAGAATGGATCAGAAACTGGGCCGTAATAAAATGATAGGCTTGTATATATTATGATATGCCAAATGTTGAGATAAACACAGATGATAGCATATGTAGGTGAAAGTTGCTGGAAGATTGTCCCGTGCCTTGCGGTCAGAGTAGCAGTTCCTCTGAATGTACATACCGTAAAACCTCGAATTGAAACCCAGTGGGCTTAATCTCGAGATGAAGCCCATCTCGAATTGAATCCCCTCTCTAGTTTGCAAAATTAGCCTCGAAAAAAAGCCAAATAAAGTCATTGGGCGTCTTCTAAAGGTAGCAGGCTTTTTTTTTTTTTAGATAGGGACAGTACAACTCAGGGGCGGATCCAGCCTGCCAGGAGGGCGCAATATGCGAGCGAAGCGAGCAGCCTTAGGCTGGGGGCCAGGGGGTCGCCTAGGGCCCCCGGCGGAGTCCAGGGGAAGAGCCGCTGGTGGGGGTCCAAGCACATTTGAGGAACAGCCCAGCCCAGCCCAGCACATTTGAGGAATATGAGGTTGTATTGAGCTGATTTTGACTAGGGGGAATGGGGATATAGCCCCCCCCCCAATCGGGGAAGCATAGCCCCTGTCTCTTATACACATCTAGATGTGTATAAGAGACAGCCATCGTAGTAATAATAATAGTTCAATGAGACTAATTAAAAATAAATTGCGTTCTGATGACAAATGCTCGTTTGGATAGCCTCATGATGCTTGGAATACATCGTGATATGTGATGCAACCTCGATCTTGACAGCGTGGTTAACAGATTTCATGCAAAATTTCCAAAACGTAGAATTTCACTTTCAAGAATGAGGATTTGAAAATAAATTAGGTGGTTACATTGCATACTCTTTGTTTCTTGCTTTATTAAATATGCAACTATGAAATGTGTCATTAAATTAATAATAATTCATCTACTCACAGCTGTGGGTTTAAGTGCATCTTCAATGAACATCTCAAACATAATCTTTGACAACATGCAAAGGCTCATAAATGTACACCATTTCAAAAGAGAAATTTCACTTCTAGAAAACATGATGAAGTTTCTCAGCAACATCGAGCATAAAAATAAAAAAAATCAACAAAAAGGAAAACTAATATTCAAAATCCGTTAAAAAAAAAGTCGTCAAACAACAAAAATCCGCTACTGAATAAATTACAAGTTGTTCTATTTCTCACCAAGTGGATTTATGAATAGCACTCTCCTAAGGTGTTTTGGTAGGAAAAGAAGACTTAAACACTGTGGGTGTAATTTTTTCTTTTCTTTCTTTTCTTTTTTTTTTGTAAAATATAGAGTGGGGGTGGGCGTACGCCCCTTACGCCCCCCCCCCCCCCCCCCCCCCGTAAATCCGCCACTGGAAATAGGCCAAGGCCCTAGGTTTAGGTAGGCTACGGTACTTTGTTTCGTGACAATTAGAGACAACAGGATTATACAATTTCATACAGTAGGCATATATTTTGTAAATTACACAATGATGATTAAACCAGGTACTGTACTTGAAAACAAATAAGGAAGTAAAACTTACATGTCAAAAGTGTCAAATGTTGTATACACAAAAACTGTACTTTAATATTAAAAGAGTAAGTCTACTGAAGGGGTGTCGTCAATGGAGATGTGCACACATATCAGTGTACTGTGGTCATTGTGCATGGGGTTGTCTGACAACAATTTTTTTTCAGTATAAAAGGGGGGAAGGGGCTCCCCCTAAATCCGCCCATGCAACATGTACATGAATTTAAAAAAAAAAAATAATTGGTTTATACAGTTAGTTTAGGTGATTTAATGCCAGTTAAATCTACTCCATGATACAGATTGGTGTTACAGTGGCTTTTATAGTTATTGTTTTATGGGATATATTCACAAAATTTACAGCATTCATTTTGAAAAGATTCCTCCTTTTTACTTTGCAAAAGTAGCCTTGAAAAGAAGCCCATCTTGAAAAGAAGCCCATCCAAAGTTCACAATAAAAAGAAACCCAGAGCTTCAATTCGAGGTTTTACGGTATCTTATTATATTATTGTTATTTGTTATTGTTATTTTTTATTATTTGTTATTATTATTATTATTATTATTATTATTATTATTATTATTATTATTATTATTATTATTATTATTATTATTATTATTATTATTATTATTATTATTATTATTATTATTATTATTATTACATTATTAAGAAGAATTATCATTATTATTATTATATTATTAGGCCTATTTGTTATTATTTGTTTTTATTTATTATTTTTATTACTAATTATTGTTATTACGACTAGGCCTATTATTATTATTATTATTATTATTATTATTATTATTATTATTATTATTATCATCACATTGTTCAATTACTATATTACTATTATTGTCATTTACATATAGGAAAATGCACCTTCTATACTCTTTCTTAGTTTACCGTTCCCTGATTTAACCATGGAGATATCAGGGAACAGTAAAATTCACTGTTCCCCTGTGTTATCCTCACCGTTTTCCCTGCAGAACACCTTCCTGTCACCCATTCTTATTGTTATATATTTATTAAAAATTCGACAGAACTGTCCAAAAGGGAAACCAGGGGACGATCGCCCACCAAGTGGGAACCTCTTGACAAAATATTAATACAATGAATGCCTATAAAATCTCCAATAAAATCAATTAGGTGAATGGTGATCCCTCTCTACTCATGCAGTATACCATGAGTATACAAACTTAAGAAATTATTGAACCGTAAAAGGTGCGACCAAAAAGTAGGTGATTGGTGATTATATTAATAGATATGTATGTGAAAGTTGATAGTATTCTATTATGCTGGAAGGATGCATCCGTGTCTGGTGGAAGTTCCGATGATGACATGACACGGATTTCTATTTAATCACATGTGGAGCAGGTGCCAAAGAACGAACATTTGTAACGTGAGTGTCAGAGGCATCGGACGTGTATTCAGAGAGAATTCTACGACTGCAAAGATAGGCCTAGATGATAGAACAACACGGTAATATTATTATTTTGCACGTTGTATTTACTGAATGAATGTATTGTATTTAGTATAGCGCATTCATTCGGTACAACTCGAATAAGAGGAGACTGAAGGATCGAAAAGTTAAGAGCTAGGCTAGCTAGGTAGGTAGAGTCGGAAAGAGGAGTAGGTAAGGTCTGCAGAGCGCAGATTGTACTAGGGGGTGTACTAGGCCTACACTGCTGGACTCTGCGCCAGCTATCTGGGCACTTGATTTAGGCGAGGCTTTCTTACTCTTTATTCGCCAAAAAAAGAAAAAAAGTACAATACAATGGTGGAATACATACAGAATACAAATACGATAAATTGATTGAGTCGACAGGAACACAAAACGCTAAAGACTAAAAGGGAACCAGGCCTAGGCCCTTGCCTAGCTAGGTTAGGCCAGGCCAGGCCTAGTAGTAGTAGTATAACACCAAGTCTGTGAACCTCACTCATCCAATAGGTCTAGGCCTATATTATAAATAAATAGGTCAATTATAATAAAATTAACCAAAACAAAGAAAGCAGTTATCTAATTAAGTAGAATAGCAAAATAAATATAACAAAATAGGCCTATGTAATCGTTGATCAGAAATCATTATTAACTTTTAAAAGAAAGGCAGTGCTTATAATGTTGGCACCGGCAATATGCCAACATCGATATATTGCCAATCTATTTCTCTGATTGGCTAAATGTAAATTATAACTTCATCAAACCAAGACGAAGGATCGGGAAAGAAACACAGCCAAAACACCATGGCTGATGAATTACAGGCTGGTGATATTTTTATTTTGGATGTCGAAAGAAAAACAAAAGAATTTAAAGAAAACCAAAAAGAAAAAGAGGCTGAGAAAAAGATATACCGTATGTCTAGACATTGGCGTACAGAGAGAGAGAGAGAGATTCCTAGTGCTGACAGTGATGACAGACGGTTTGGTGAACTGTAGAAAAATATTTTCCTCTAAATAGTAGACTAATAAAATCGATTGAATAAGCCTTTGAAATCGCTAAATTGTCATTTATTTTCGAATGGTTTTTAGTGGCACCCGACCACGCCCACTATGATCCGCCCGGGGACTTTGACCCCCGTCAGGGATCCTGGCGCCTCTGCTGCTCTCATCATCAGAGGCAAATTAATAAATACCTATGAAGCCTGTCAAGTGCATTTTTGCATTTGTTGATATATGTTTAGAGGGCGCCCTCACTCGTGCAATCGAGTGTACTGCCGGCAACATAATTCAACAAACATACATACGTTATTTGTATGTTATCGTCTAGGAGTGCCTTCTTTGAACTTATCGGCCCTTTCTGTAAGTCGGTGGTTCTACAATCAAGTATAAAAATGAAGTAACAAACACTAGAATGTTACCCTGATTTTCACCTTCAGCAACACCCTATGGTATGAGTATACTCGTCGCTGGTAGCGAACATGTTAATAAAAAAAAAAAAAAACATTTATTATTTACCACGCTGTTTACCACTAGTACATAGGGTAGTAAATGGCATAGTAAATACATTCACCAAAAAAAAATAATTTCAAATTCTGGATGTGAAACTAACAATTATTTTTATTAGGCCCAAAAAATTACTTAAGAATACATGCTGATTAACTTGCAATTTTTTTTGATTAAATTTAAATGTACTGTAGTGTAGATAAACTAACTTATTGGTTTTTGAGGTGGGGTTGGTATTTTTCATTGGATGGGGCACAGATTGATTGATAGCTTGAGAAACTGTAGGAGAGGTACAGTATAATGGAATTGTATTTATTGTAGGTAACTTTTCACCTACTTTTTGTGAAAGCAATTTTAATTACTGTGTTATCTAGTAAATGAGATGATTGCTTTTGTTTAGGCTAGGAAATAGTGTACATTAACATAGCTAATGTTTATAAAGGTCATTATTGGTTTTCATATATCAGCAGAATGACTTCTCACCTACTTTTTATAAGCTATTTTTAAACCAGTGCATTCTCTGTTGCATTTTGTTCTTTCATCATAGCTCATTGTCAAGGCAAGTTAAGCTAACAACACTTGTTATATTTTTGTTTGGATTAGGTAGTATTATATCATTTCATTTACTTAAGGGTCAATTGAAGTTCAGACCGTGGAGGAATTAATTCGTCCATGTTCAAACTAAGTTTATAATATCATTGAATGACAATTATAGTCCATGTCTTTAGATGCTGATGTTGACCAAGTTTTTTATGGTACAGTCCAGCAGGCCAAGTAAAATTAATTGCCAATTTCATGTCCCTGCTCTCATAAAATGGTAGAACCTTCCATGAAAAAAGTTTACTATATTTCCCGCTGTATTTGCTTTTTTCAAAAAACAATAATTTTTCCATAAAAATAATGACAATCTTAAACATTGTTGCCAAAGCCTAAGGGCGTGTTTCTGCTGAATAACGCCAAAAACATGAGTTTTTTATAAACGGTTAAATTCCTTCTGAACGCGTTTCTAGCGAAAAAAGTGCAACTAATAAAAACACGGTAATGCAAGCATTGGCAGGTGGGCGGAGCTTAAATGACGGTCACCAACGGAAGTTGAAGCTGACCTTACTTCTTACGAGGTACAGTGCATGCTGCGAAAGAAGTAAACAACACACCACGGAAGCATGAAAAAAGTATGGTATGATCTTCAAGCATGTCATCCTATTGGTTTAATTTTTTTCTTCGCCCCAAATTTTCCGCGGACAGGCGAACAAACCAACGAAGAGGTCAATTTCGGTCACCGATGGGTCATGACTAACACGGTAAGTGCGTTGCAGCTGAAAAGTGCACCAGAAAACATGCGTTTTCTGAATGCGAACCTTATAACGAATGCGTGTAAAGACGCGCATTTTTAGAACGCATTCCTAACCGTGTTTTTGTTTTTACTGGTGAAAAAACAAGTGTTTTTTAATAACCGTTTAAATACACATGTTTTTTTGCTCAGCAGAAACAGGCCCTAAGAAGAGTTGAAAATACATAAACAACAAATTTTATTATTTACCAGCTTGTTTACCAGTATACCTGTAAAATAATAAAATAGCATGCATTAATACCCTTGCCAAAAAATAGTTTCAAATCCCAGACAGGAAACTAACGATTAATTTTTTTTGGCTGTCCTTGACAATGCCGTAGCCAACTATTGGGACATTCCCACAAAATTTTTCTAATGGGTCCACAAAGAATGGGTTCCACATTTTTAAAAATGGGTCCAAATTATGTAAATTTATGCATAAAATCGTTCCACTTGTTGAAAAATGGGTCCAGATTTCATTTTGTAAAATGAGTCGACATAGTTCGAATTTATGCGTAAAGTGGGTCCACCCTGATAATGTCCTGCACTGTTTGAAAATCCTGGCTATGGCATTGGCCCTTGGATACTTCTTTTGTGCTCTGTTTTATTTAGAATGATTAATTTTAATTAAATTTTAATTATCATTACAAATACATAGTATTATTATTATTTATTTCTCATGATCATAATAAAATGAAAAATACAAAGACTTTTGATAAACTTTTGAAATTATAAATTATAGTAGGCAATTAATGGAACAAAATTCATCAAGGTTTAACCGCCGTGCCCCCCTAGATCCGTCTCTTATACACATCCTATATAAGGACATTACGAATGGTGGTTAGAAAAGATAATCATCCAGAGAACATGGCTCATAACAAGAATGCGTGAATATTTACAGCAAAATAGCAGATGCAGTTAGTGGTGGGTAGTGGTTAGCTTGTTGGCCATCAGCCGATTGAGATTAGCAGGATGGCAGAATCATTGTATTTTTCTTGAAAACTCAGATGAGAATGTGCTTAAGGTTGAAAAAAGAAAAAGAGAAGTAGGACTAGACATAGACAAATATGTAAAAAAGATTAAAGTTGGAAATATACTGTCTGTCCAGGGATCGGAGCCCTCATCTGTTCAAGAGAAACATCCTTATTTTGATATTGACTGAAGAAGAATGTGTTTCCACTCTACAGCTCAAATCATGCCAACAACCACAGTCTCAGGATTGATTGGATTATTGACTTGCTAAAAAGAAAATCTTATAAGGGGGCGCTTATTCAAATTAGAAGGGGCGCTTATTCAAACGGGGCGCTTAAGGACATTTTCAAATTAGTAGGGGCGCTTATTCAAACAGGGCGCTTATTCGCGCGAGTACGGTACTGTGTATAAATAATCTCTTATTTTAATGGTAATCAGTAGAACCAGGTTCAGGGGACACCTTCATTACCAAAAACAAAGTGTCCCTCTTTAATGGGGGTTTCCTGAATAGGCCATATATTGTTAGATACTTTCCGCCGTTTGTGACCAAAAGGAGGGGGGTTCTACACTGTATGAATAAAGAAACATTTATAATTAACTGAAAAGAATGTAATAAAGTTTATATACAGTATTGGTATCTGTATCTGATGGTGTATGTTTTAGTTTTCTTAAGAGTATTCTGCATAAACACAATTTATTCGTGGCTGGAATTATAAATAACACTGATTGTAATCAATATGGTTGTTGAAATTAAACAGAATTAATATTGATTTTATTTCTTTTCATTTTTTCCAGAATATTAATATAATCTCATCACAAGATGGCAACTGATGGGACAGAGGTAGAGGTTAAATCTGGTAAAAGTAGTGCCAACCACACAAATAGCAACCACACGAGAGATGCAGTTTCAGGAGACAAGCTTGGTAAAAAGGATGCCAGCAACACAAATGGCAATTTATACACAAGAGATCCAGTTATAGGGGATCCTGTGGACAATGCTGCATATGGGGATGCAAGAGTTGATGAAGATATTATATTGCACCCTCATGATAATTATGTCTCGAAGGGAATCCAGAAATACAAAGACCCTATGAAGGTGCTTCTTCCATTTAGACCTAAACCAAAGTAAGTGTAATTGTATTGATAATTCTACTGTATGTACATACAACTTGCCGGAGGCTACAGTAGAAAGAAATTAACTGTTCTATTAAATATTTTTAGTTGTTTTTAGAATTGTTACATTAATTTATAAGATTCAGACATAGAGGTTTATACTCTACAAAATTTCAGGCAAATTACTGTGGCCTTGACTTCAGTCTGTGATATATTTTTGCCTTGCAAATATTTTTGTAAGACAATTTTCAGGTTTACATACAACAAGGAATTCAATTTTTCTTTTTTCAGTCCCCAAGTATCCATTAAGTAAATTATTATGGTGCCCTCTTCCCATTTAAGAAGATACACGTAATAGAAGAATATTTTAAGTTCATTATTCTGGTACTCTGATGCAAAGGAATTAAACCTTGACCTACTGAGTTCAGTAAACATCCATCTGGGACTTCCTGACATGAGATCATATGTTTTAATGAGATCACATGTTGGTAGACTACACCAGTACCTACCAGTCTATTGGGATTTTTGGTATTGTTATACGATTTGTTTTTGCTTTACAGTCTCCTTCAATTTTTTTTTCTGCATTTAGTATGGCATATGGTACTTTATTTAGTTTATATGTTCACCCTGCTTCAATCATGACAATGATTCATAAACATTAATAACAAGTTCAATATTTATAGTAATTTATAATTGAACTAACAATAGTAATAATAATAAAAACTAATTATTTTTTAATGTGTGGCTTGTTGAAATCTTTAAAGCCAGACTACAGGTGGAAAAAATTGATGTTTGATTGGTGTTTATAAAGAAATAATTGAACAGATTAATACAATGCGGATTTTTAATACACCCTCTTTTTCACAGGTGGGCAAAGTGCGGCCCGCGGGCCGCATGCGGCTGACAGCAATGTTTTTGCGGCCTGTGAACACCTTGTTTTTTACGGCCCGACACCGATCGTATGTAAAAAATAACATTAAAACTGAAAATAAAAGCAGAGCTTGGAGGTTTTTAGAAGCTCACTAGAAACATCAAGTTTGGGTGCGTCCCTCGGTGTTAAATAAAAAATTCACTTTGGCCCTCCGACCGATTTTTATGCCCACCCCTGCTCTTTTTCATTCATACAACTTTTCATGACAATATGATAACAGTCTCGACATCAATAAAGTTGCATCCATTTTTGTCTCTTGTTTCAGGGATCGAAGCAATATAAGATACAGCCCCTTGGACCACATGGGACTCTTTTCCATGCTCACCTGTTCCTGGCTGACACCCGTTTATCGAAAAGCTTACAAAAGGACATTAAAATATGGTGATCTGTGGGATTTGTCAGATAATGATAACTCAGAAACAAATGGACAAAGGTAGGAGCTCATTTTAATAATAATATATTAATCTTCAAGAAATCTAAATAAAATTACTTTTTATAATTTACATTATAAAAACAAACCTACAGTGGTAGTAAATTAAACATAATAAAACATATTTGTAATATATATATAATGAATCATTTAATATTTTTATAGAAATTAAAATAATAAAAAAATTGATAATTGAATATAATTCATTAATAAATCTAAAACAAAATTCTTAATTACAATCAATGCTATACTGTATAAACATCTCTGAATAATTTGAGACTAAAATTAATTCTCTGTGGTCAGTATAGTACTGTAATCACAGAAATATGGTATGGAAGGAAATCCTGCAACAATTAGGTCAAAGGTCAAAAGTGCCATTTCTGGTCATCTTTACATACATTAGAAATAGTAGAAACATGGTCTAAACAATTTGAAAATGAAAGCAACTCTTTGCGACCAGCATATTTATAAGCTAATTTGCAATGAATAGGGACATGTGACGAGATGTGATTTCTGAAATTTCATCCCCCAACATATGTATTTATTTAAAGTATAAAAAACTTGTTCAAAAAGGGTGTGGTAATTTTCGGCAGTTTGTCCCAGATAGAAAATTTTGCACACTTCCCACATTGACCCCTTACTTCATTATTAGTAAATTTGCATACATCTTAGCCCAGTCCCCTTTAAACATGTTCTTTTCAGAATTTATAGTAAAAAAATATTTTTGCTATGAATTCTACGATAATGATTTCTAGGAATTTGTAATTAACATTCTGAGGTAATGAAATAAATTAATATTTTATCATTTTACCACCAAGCATTGTCATAAATTTTTAGTTCAGTGTTTATATTGAAGCTTGACATTTAGAGCAAGCAGTACTGAAGTTACCGTATAGTGGATGACCAATTAACTGTTCACTTTAAAGTGTGTTCAAAGGTCAGTTAATCAGGAGACACTGCAATTTGAATAGAAATCAGTCAGATTGATATGGTATTTGGTTTTTTACTATTCTTCCTATAGATTTAATTGCAGTTACTCTACAGCTGGCAGGCAGCAATACCGTACTGCCATGAAATCTATAAAATAATCACTTTCATTTTCAACAGTTACGAATATGCTGTGTTTGAAGCAAACATCCATAACAATCAATATAATATTTAAGTAAAATTCTAATTCATTCTTCTTTATGTACATTAATAAGAACATTTTGGAAGTTTTATCCAGCTTTAGTGAAGTGCTACCAATACCATGATAAAGAAGATAAATTATACATTGTACTGTACATAACCTACACATGACTTTTTTTTCTAAATAATTGTAATGTAAATACAGAACAAATCACAAAATTCATAAAATATTACTGTACACTTTCTTTGCTCTTAAAAATATAATTTCAAACAGTTTGAGCTTGGAGCGATAAATTTAGTGATGTTGCCTTTCTCTGTCAGTTCAGTGTTATTCATAATATACATGTGTTGTTACACTGTAATTAAAATGGCTTTGGCAAGACTTTTTTAGACCTTGTTTAGCAAACCTGTATGTATGTATTTGTATATATTTCTACCTATTTATATAAATTTAAAACATTTTACGATCCCATTACTACACTGTTGACATTCAACAATACAATTTTAGTAGAGAATTGACAGGGAACCCAATCAGCTTTATAAATTGATAAACCTAACTTGAAGATAAACTTGAACAAAGCCAAGTATTTTCAATTAAGTAACATTTTTGCAGGCATATTGCAAAATAGAGGCCAAGATATATGGCAAATAGCCAGAATGTAAAATGCTTAAAGCAAGGCTCCAGAGTGAAAATAATTTAGTTGATATCTCATACAACTCATAAGACACTGAACGGATTTAAAAATCCAATTTGTACAACATCAAAAAAAGTTTCTTCCGGAGCCTGCATTTAAACCATTATGCTAATTAGTATAAAAACTAAAGACTTTTTTTACAAAATATAAAATTGCAATTATAAGTTTAGAATTGTTTTTATTATCACAATTTCATTATATTCGATCTGCATGCTCATTAAGATGCTGTTTAATTAAATTTTGTAAGTGATAAAGAAAATAATTTCCTAATACTATTCATTTAAAAAAAAAAATATGATCAGAGATAGAGTAACTGTAAGCAAAATTATTGTTTATCTTTCACTTTAAAGTTACCTTTATCAATTTATGAATGAATATTATGAGTATTGGAAGAGTGGACATTGTATCTTCAACATTTGAATATAAATATTAAATCTAAATTATATATTATTAAATTATATCATAATGCCCTATATAGGCATGATGATGTCAAATTACACCCAAATATGGGCACATCACATTTATTTGTCACGTAAAATTTGATAGTGTCCAGACAGAGCCCAATACAAAATGAACAAATTGTTAGATTTGTGAATTGCTCAGAGTATTATAATGATTTAACTATTATTTATTGTCTTTATTTTTCTAATTTCAGGTTTGAGAGGTTGTGGCTGGAAGAACTAGCTGCAAAAGGTAAAGAGGAGGCGTCACTTAAAAAAGTCTGTTACCGCTTCATAAGAACACGACACATGTTTATGCTGCTCGGATTGTTCATGTGGCTATTCTCTGCCTTTGCAAGTTCGGTTAGTATCGTATTCAAAGCAGAACTATTTAAGTGTAAACATGGCAGACAAAGAAAACAAATTCTGATTTCAAATTGTTACTGCGTGGATCACTACAATGTTTTTTGGCCTTTATCAGAAATATGAATTAGAATAAAAAATCTCCACTTCCTGAATTGATATTCATTCAATATTACAGAAGTTATGACATGATTTAACCTTTCAGTTAATTCTCAAACCAATAGCAAAGTCAATAATTGTTTTAACTGATAAGGTACTGTACCCCTCTGTATCCTGTATAAAATCTAGTGCGTAATTGTGTAATGGTAGCTTCTATATGAATACTTATTAAAAAGTTTCAATAAAACCAGAACACCAAATGTGTGTTCTACCAAAACGCCAATATGCCTATAAATATATCATGCTGTGTGTTGAACAAATTTCTTACGTAAACTTTACTCAATTTTTTAGAGTATAGTGTAGAAATTGCTAATTATCTATGGGGCCTATAGTACCAAAATATTTTTTTTTCTCTCAATGGTTTTCTAAAGAAATTAATTTGAAAATTTGGCCCATGATCATTTTCACATAACAGAGGCAAATTTAAGCCCACTACACCCAAGACATCAATCCTTGTGGCATGATAAAAAAAAAAACCCAATATAGAATACTTTACAGTTAATATAAAATGATTAAAGGTTTTCATTTAAAGTTTAAATATTATTCAGCTGACCTAGCCCTTTGTTGTTTTATTACTTGGTGTTACCATTCTAGTTTATTGCCGTTTGAGTTATTGTTGTTGCATTGGCTTTATGAACATTTTTATTAAAAAATTTCTGCATACAGTAGTTGCCCATCCAATGAGACAATATAGAAATAGATCTATTACCACCATTGTCTATAATCAGACTAAGGAGAGTCCCGCCACACTTGAGTGACCCAATTTCATAATTTTTGTGGTCTAAGCATGACATTGCTCTTAACCCAAAAATTCAATCTAGAAAAGATACCCAAGTTGACCCGGGATTGATCTTGTGTTGACATTTCTACCTTCTCATTGTAATCTGGTCAAAATGTGGTGTGGTCAGCACAACCATCACTACAATCACAGTGTGAAAGCTCAACAGTTTTCTGTGACTGAGTTAGGTTAACATTAGTCAACCCACATGCCAGGCACGAGACTTACACCAGGCTTGATTGAATATCTGGATTGAGCGCTAGTCTGAACGTTGCAATAGACTGAGCATGGTAGTATGAACCAGTACAGGTCTTCCTCTATTAAAGATACCTCCAATTAAATGTCTTATTATTATTCTATTTTAGAGACCAAAGACCATGGAAATCCCAGTCCCAAACGTGGTCTTTAATTGGAGGGAGACCTGTAATTTCTTACGTACTTTAGTTTATTCATAACTATGTCACCTACTAGGGGTAATGTTTTGATTGGTCAAACACTTTTGGTACTTGTGCATAAGCTTGCAAATATGGATAATTTTTAATTCCTGATGATAACATAATTAATGTCAAAATATTGAATCCCGACACGATGGCGTGCATTTCTATACTTGGAGTATGTATTATACAGTACTATCTTTTCTTACATACGGTTGTGCAACAAAAAAAAATGTAAACCATGACATCATAATAATTTCTGAGTTTCATATATCTTTCTTTGCTTATCAAAAATACAAACAAATTTATGTTGAGTCATGGGTTTAATTTAAATGCCATCCTTTATGTAGTGTTAAATTAATAAGGTACATTATGATATTTTCTTAATGAGGCACTTGTGCTGACCAGAAACTTAATACAGTAATGTAAGCTACTGTTTAATTGTACATGGAGACTTTACAGTACACATCAGTTATACTACGGGGGGTTTCCCTGGTAGGAAATTGGTTTTTAACCTGTTGAAATTTATTGTTTTGAACCATATAAAAACATATTGATTTGTGATTGCAATCTTTCCAAAATGTTTGCTTTCTACGCCCTTCTTTATCATGTCCTACTTTATCATGTGCAAACCAATGGAAGGCATAATCTACCGTTGCTTTGATGGTTATGTGGAATCACAATAAATAGCCTGAGATGATGTTGGAAGGAAATAATAATGCAAGTGTTTTAACTATAGTCTGTATAAAGTTTAACGTCACTACAGTAAACTAAATGTCATAACGCCATGGGATGCCCTTTCGGTACTAAGCAATAATGCAGTCGATACGGCCAAGTACACTCAAAGCTAAGCCACATACTGTAGTATCAATGATAAACCGTAGTGAAACTTCACAAATTTTTGAACTGAAGTATAAAATCTTAAATTTAATTTTAAGACATATTGTATCTTTATTTGTACTTGTACAGTAAAATTAAAATTGACATTTATGGGATAAAGATTAAGATTTTCTAAAATGCTTTAAAAAAGAAATTATTAGGTTTTTGAATGTTTTTTTTTGAAAAAGCTATGTAAACTGATGTGATCAGTGGCATATGTAGGGGTAGTCGAGTCGCCCTTCCCCACCCCCCCCCTCCAAAAAAATTACCTGTGTATTTAAAAGAGACCTCAAACCACCTTATTTTGTGAGTACCCCTTTACCTCTTGTAGCACCTTCCATTTCACCTTTGCACCTGCTCTCTCCCCCTCCCCTTCCCCTCAGTTTTGTGTGTGCAATACAGTAAACTTTTTATTCTTCAACATTTTTAACCTTTTGAACATTTGGCTGTAATTTAGGTGTTGAAGTGAAGCTTATAAATCCTTTTTATGGCTAGAGTACATCTCCCAATTTTTTTGTCAAGTAAATTGCAACTTTGGTATGTTTTGAATGTTGTGAATGTAGTGTTTATTTCTACACGTTCAAAACCCTAAGTGATTCATTTACATAAATCATAGTCTTCAACAACAGTGAGATATAGTAGCTTTGACAATCTTGTTAGTCTGTTTATGTTGTAATTAGTGGATGTCAAAAATGAATAGGTAAACTGTTATGTAGCTATTAGTACATTTCCCAATATAGTCAAGTAGACTACTACTTTGGTATGTTTTGAATGTTGTGTTTATTTCTTCATGTTCTAAACCAACAGAGAACATGATTATTCGCTCATTGTATGTCTGTAGCATTCTACTACAAAGACACATTATATGTTTAATTTATCATTAGTGCAAAAAACAGATCTCCCATAATGTTCAAAGTCCAACTGTACCAAGTCTATCTGTATAGACCAGACTGACTCGAGGAAGAACAATTAAGTCTTTGGACAATTAAGTACTTGTATTTACTATATGTATAATTTTGTTTTAACATTTTAAATTGAATGTTTAGCAGATTTTAATTATGAACTGAATTTTATTTCATTTCAAAGTTTTATTAAAGGTGTTTTTTAATTAGTTTCTTTTTAATAAATTAATCAATCAGTCTATCTACAGCATTCGATGGCAGTCTGTCTACTCATTTAATTGTATCTCTCCACTACATTTTTTACTCTTCATCCATCCGTACGTCCGTCCATCATTCCATCCGTCTGGGCCATCCACTATTTTACCATGTTTGATTGAACTTACTACTACTGTAGGTTTTAATTAGTATTATACAAGGCTTTTTTATTTTTTATCATCATTTTATGCATTTTTTTCTAACTATAATATTCCGAGAACCTTTAACAATTGCATTTCGAAAATGATGAGTTTAACAACACAAACTTTGAAAAAACGTATTTAATATTTGAACTGTACTTACTACAGTATGTTCTTGCTGTTATTAATGTCACTACTTTTTCTGTTCTTGTGTCTCTTCTTAAATTTTATGCATAATAACTTATAGTAAGTGATGCTACTATAAACCATTTTGTATGTAATAAATTAATAAGAGAAATTTCAGCTATTGTTTACATTAAAGTTCTTTTCTTTTTTTGTATTCAAGGCATTTCTAGTACAAGACCTTTTAAAGTATATAGAGGATCAAAATGATGACCTGGCGTATGGTCTGACACTAGTTTTGGGCATCCTCCTGCTCAATATTAGTAGAGTCTTTGGTGATGTCTTCTTCTGGACCTTTGGGATGAGGACAGCGACACGAATGAAAAATGGTGTTGTGACATTGGTGTTCAAAAAGATCGCAAGGTTGAGGGGCCTTCAGGATAAGACAGTTGGAGAGGTCAGGGTTAAATTGGCTTTTTTATTAATTTTTTTTTTAATGTTAATTATTATATTGTTTTTGTTTTTTTTTCATTTATTTATTTATTTTTAGACATGAAAATAACAATACAGTTTATTTGGCCTAAAATGAACTAATTTTATGAGACTTCCTGTTCAAAAGAAAAATGTTTTAATGGCATACCTCCAGTGTAAACAAAATATTTGCCGTACAGCATGCAATTGTTAATGTTACAACCATGGTAGTGGTTAGGGAAATTCCCTTGATATCATAGTCACTATATAACTTCATATATGTGACGAGGGCAAGCCAAACCAGTCACTCGTCGCAATTCGTGTTTCAGAGATAATGGCCAAAACATGCTAGAATGTCAACATTTTTGAAATACATTTTATTGAACTAAACAACCTTCATATATTTATATATCATGCCATGCTGTTATTTCCCCCATTTTCAATGTCAAACCAACAATTTTTAATGATTTGGTGTTGGTCTCTGTCTGAGAAATGCAAGAAATCATAAACTTTAAAGGCTGATTTATCAAATGTTGTTCTTTAAATAGCTCTATGTTTAAATACTTGTAACTTCATGAGGAAATGTTGGACTTAAATGATTCTTTTACCATTTTATAGCTCTCATTTTACTGTTTTACCCTGTATTAATAACTAAAATTGATTTTTGCATCCAGTAACTTGTTTTGGCTTGTCTTTGCCACATATGCAGAATGCAAAGCTGAAAAATTGTAATTTTTAGATTTCCCTTAAAAAATTCTTGAATAAATAGCAATGTATTTGTAAAAAAATAACCCAAAATAATTTGATTCCAGAATTGTTATGAATTTTAATTTAAAAAAAAATTATACTTAATAACGTATTTATCTTAGATTTTATCAAAACTATCAAATCACCTCATGTGTTGCAGATAAGGAAATCCCCATAAAGACCCAACAATGGACCAAACCATTATATAATATCCTATGTAAATAGACATAGTTATTAACGGGAGAAAACAATATTAATACTTGTTTAATTTATAAACTTTTAATTTAACCTTGTATAGAATTTCTGGGAGTCAGATATTGCTTCTCAGTGACTATAAAAATGCCCCTATTATCAAGTGGTTTTGTCCATTGTTGCACGCTTTATCTTTTTTTTGTGCAATACATTCCAGGTGTATGTCATTCCATTAATAGGGGAAGTAAGCTGGTAAGCAGTTTCCAGTTAATAATAATAAATGCACAAATCATCTTGGGGCAGTGGCGTAATAGCTATGAGCTGATATTCATCAGCATTTCATTTCGCCCCAAATCGGCCAAGCGGAAAAACATCATAATACAGTATGTCCTTAGACTTGAAGGAGGCCTATTTATGTACAGGGTTTGCCCCATACCGCACTAGGCTGTCCACCCGGACCCACCTTAAATAGCCTGAAGAAGCCTGAGGCCCAGGCCTCTTTGTTACACTGCTTTAAAGAAATTTTTTGTAGCATAAACTAATAAAAGCTTGAAAAAAATTCGCCCAACACCTGTTTAGTACAGTAGACTTGTTTTATCAGAATGCAAAAAAAAAAACTAAAAAAAGGAAAGAATGGAATTTTCCTTCAAACATCAGTTTTGTTTGGTTGAATGATTTCTTTTTATTTTATTTTATACAGATAGTAAATATTTGCACCAACGATAGTCAGCGTATCCATGATGTGGTCGTCGTTGGCAACTTCCTCTTGTCGTCGATATTCCTCGTTATTGCTGTACTTATTGCTGTTGGTCTAATTGTTGGGCCGTCTGCTGTTCTTGGAGTTTTCATTACGTTCATATGCTTCTGGCCACTGCAGGTAAAAATGTGGCTATTGAATTATTACCTCTTCCAAAGAACATTATATATTCACCTTTTACTGACTGTTAGCAAAATTTCACAAAACTAATGAATGGATCATCATAAAATTTAGAGGAATGGTACAAAATTATCTAAGAAATATTACAAAAGTGACATGTATTCGTGGCCCTATTATTCTATTAAAATATGTTTTTTAGATATAATTATATTCTATTATATAATTAGTTTTTAAAGTAAATTAGTTTCCTATATTTCTTTATTAGCCATTTAAGTGTTAGTATTTTAGTGCACCTGAGAAAAAAAATTTTAAACTTTAGAAACATGCAGAGATATTATGGGCACTTGCAATTGTATTTCTATGTAAAATGAATTTTACAAATGACAATAAATTATGCTGATCTGAACTTCATGACTGCACATAGAGCTACAAAATGCAATAAAAACCCAAAATAAACTTAATGCATATAAAGCAAAGAATGTAAATTTTAGTTTTACCTAATGCAAATATGTTGTAAATATATTATTTTTGCATCTATGCTTATGTGCCCTAATCCATTGTGAATGGCAACAGTTCATTTCTAAGATGTATATTTATTTTTTAGATTGTTTTTGGAAAGTTAACATCGGTTATTCGCCAAAAAGGAATCATCATAACTGACCACCGTGTGCAGAAGATGAACGAGCTCTTGACATATGTCAAACTCATCAAAATGTATGCTTGGGAGAAACCATTTTCAGAATCTATAATTGGTAAGATTCTAACCTGTCTCTTATACACATCTAGATGTGTATAAGAGACAGGAATTGGGGCCAGTTGAAGGACCACTTGAATTGTCCAAAA